GCCTTTTGGTGTTGGCGAGCTTCGATAGGAGGTCGGCTTGGGCATTTTGTTCTCGCGGCACGTGCTTTATGGTGAATTCGTTGAAGGATGAGATCTGGTGGGACGCAGTGTGAAAATACCATTGCAACATAGTGTCATTTGCTTGGTACGTCCCGTTGAGCTGCTCCACCATGAGTTTTGAGTCACTGTTGCAACTCACTCTTCGAGCTCCGAGGTCGTGGGCTAGCCTCAGCCCTGCGAGGAGTGCCTGGTATTCTGCCTGGTTATTGGTCCCCTTGAAGCCGAATTTCAGGGATTGCTCCCAGGCGACTTGGTTTGGACCTTCCAGAATGATACCCGCACCACCACCTTTGGAGTTGGAGGATCCGTCAACATGCAAAGTCCATACCTGGGGTTCCTCGGTGGTAATTGGCGTGAGCTCAGCTACGAGGTTGGCCAGGCATTGGGCCTTCAGGGGTCCGCGACTTTCGTATTGGATGCCGAACTCGGATAGTTCTACTGACCAGGCGATCATGCGTCCGGCAAGCTCGGGCTTTCACAGGATTTGCTTGATGGGATAGTCAGTTTTGACTACCACCTGGTGGCTCTAGAAGTAGGGCCGGAGCCGCCGGGCTGCGGTGACAAGCGCCAATGCCAGCTTTTCGATCATTTGTATCTTCTCTCCGCGTCCTGGAGGACTCGGCTGATGAAGTAGATAGGTGTCTGTACTTTTTGGTGTTCTTGTACGATAACTGCACTGATGGCGTTTTCTGCTACCGCCGGGTAGAGAAGGAGGTCGGTGTTGTGATCCGGTCTCTATAGGATCGGTGGAGTGGTGAGGAAAGATTTGAAGCTTTGGAAAGCTTCTTCGCACTGATCTGTCCACAGGAAGTCCTTTGGCTTTTTTAACAGTGTGAAGATTGGTCCTGCCTTCTCCGCGAGTTTGGGAATGAAGCGAGACAGTGAGACTAACCGTCCGGCCAGGCGTTGGACCTCTTTCATCGTTTTTTGGGCTTTGCATCTGGATGATGGCTTTGCACTTCTCGGGGTTGGCCTCGATTCCTCTGCTAGTAATCATGAAGCCGAGGAACTTACCTCCCTGGACACCGAAGACGCATTTCTCCGGGTTGAGGCGCATGTTATGCCTTCTGACTTGGGCGAATACCTCGGCGAGGTCGGTAGCATGGTCTATTGCCGAGGTGGTTTTGACTACCATGTCGTCGACGTAGACTTCCATGTTTCTCCCAATTTGTTGATGGAAAACCTTGTCCATCAGCCGTTGGTAGGTTGCCCCTGCATTTTTTAGGCCGAAGGGCATCACCCGGTAGCAGTAGTTGGCGTGGTCGGTGATGAAGGACGTGTGTACTTTATCAGGTGGGTACATCATTATCTGGTTGTACCCAGAGTATGCATCGAGGAAACAGAGGAGGGCGTGTCCGGAAGCTCCGTCGACTAACCTGTCAATGCTCGGCAGAGGGTATGAGTCCTTGGGGCATGCTTTGTTTAGGTCGGTATAGTCGATGCACATGCGCCACTTTCCCGAGTTCTTCTTTACTAGGACCACATTTGCTAGCCAGGTGGTGTATCTGACTTCACGGATGAAGCCAGCGTTGAGCAATTTCTATGTTTCGGCGACGATGGCCTCTCGTCTCTCACCGCCGACCTTTCTCTTCCTCTGGGCGACTAGTTTTGCCTCCTTGTGTATTGCTAGTTTATGGCAGATAAAATCGGCGCTTATGCCTGGCATGTCAGCGCTAGACCAGGTGAAGAGGTCGGCGTTCCTCAGGATTTCCGCTTCAAGCTGCTGTCGCAACTCTGGGGTCAACTGTTTGCTGATCTTCGTGGTTTGCCCGGGGAGTTTCCCGATCTGGAGATCATCGAGCTCGTCAACGGGGCTGGGCTGCCCATTGTGAGCATCGGATCTTGGATCGAGGTTGGTGATTTCTTCGCGGTCGGTGTGGGCCATGGTGATGAGGTTGCTCTTGCACTGCTCGCCGAGTGGGGCAACTCTCAGGCTTTCTGCATAGCATTGCTGTGCCACCTTTTGGTTTGCTTTGACTGAGATAATCTTTCCATCGTGTCCTGGGAATTTCATGGTGAGGTGTGGGGTGGACACCACCGCTCCGAGCTGATTCAAGGTTGGCCTGCCGATGATGATGTTATAGGAGGTGTCAGCTTCCACGAGGAGGTATCGAACCATGACCCGCCTTGAGTCCGGGGGTGCCCCGAAAGTTATTAGTAAGTCCACGTACCCCGGGGTGTGAATGCTCCTTCCTGCAAAACCGACTAGGGGTTCTGTGTGAGATTGTATGAGAGATTGGGGGATGTCTAACCTGAGGAACGTTGGCCAATATAGAATGTTAGCCGAGCTCCCTTGGTCGACTAGGGTCTTGTGAACCTCCCAATTGGCTAATGTCACCGCTATGACCATGGGATCGTCCTGATTTGGGTTGACCCCGACATAGTCGTCGTCGGTGAAAGTGATCGACGGCAAGCTCTGGCGAGAAGCGGGGGTGGTGAAGTGTACGCGGTTAAACTTGCGCATGTGTTTTTTTCCAGGCCGAGCTGTTGGAACCCCCTCTTGCGAAGCCTCCTGCGATCGTACCGATTATTCCCCGTAGGGGAGTTGATCCTGCTTCCTGGTTTACCTCGCCTCGCATTGCTCCGCCGGGGTTGAGCTGAGAGCCGGAGGGGTGATCAGGGTGTCGCCGTCGGGGTTGAACGCGAACCTTGTTGTTTTCCGCGCTCAGGGTCGCTAGGTCGACTTTGTTGATCAGGCTTCTTAAGGCTGCAGCGTCGCTGTCCATGGTGATTGAGTGTTTAGCGTCGTCTGTTGCACGTCTGCTGTGGCTTCTGGTGAAAACCATACAGGTGGCCGATAAGAGCTGTCTTGATCGGCCCCACGGTGGGCGCCAAATGTTCTTACCGGAATTTGGTCGTAGAGGTGATCCGTCCAGTAAGATCGGTGAGCCTCCTTTGCTGATACGTTGATGCTCCAAGGTGGGGTTGGTACCTGCAAAAGAGACTCCGATGCCAAAGTTAGGGTTTGTATGAGTAGGAATCTCGTATAAGTAATGCACGTACCTTAGTGTGATTTTGGGTTGCTTTGGGCCTTGGGCCTAAGATAAGGTATATCATGATTAGATAAGGGATCTCGTCCGGGGCGAGATTCTCGGGAATCAGTTATTATTCACTTAAATGCCGAGCTGACGTCGCGTGGCGTGTGCCCGAAGTCGTCCTGCGTTGCTGTACCGAGCTCGGAGCTCGGCTCTGCAGTACGGATAGTACAATATTCATCATCTATTGTATCATTTCAATTTATTGAAATTAGAAAATAATTAATTGAATATACTTAATAATATATCCACCATGTATTAGTTGACTAAAATTAATTTTTCCTATAATATGTAAGATCCCTAACTTTTAATTATGTAATTTTATAAAATTAAAAAATTAAAATTATACAATTAAAAATAAAAAAACAAAAATCACATATTTAATAGGTTAAAAACCTCTTTTGGTCCCTTATAATATTTTTTGTTTCAATTTAGTCCCACTTTAATTTTAGGTCTCAATTTGGTCCTCAATAATTTAAATCATTGCAATTTGGGACTTCCGTCTAAATGATTTAAACAGAGTTAACTAGTAGCCACGTGGATGCCACGTAGATGCCACGTAGGTGGATCCCAAAATCCTTGAATACACCTGGAAGCAGAACGGCCCGTTCTGGTTACACTATTGGTGTGCAAATTTTGTACCTGGAACGGGCCGTTCCAGATGCAAAATTAACACTCCAAAGTTTAACCAGAACGAGCCGTTCTGATTTCAGAACGGGCCGTTCTGGTTCCAAAATTATTTTTTTTTTGCTAATCCAATAAAAAAAATTCAATAAAATCCAAGTTATCGAAAATAAAAATTATCGCGGGCGAATATTTACTAAAGTACAAAACATTTCAAACACTAGATTTGATAATATTGTTAATGGGGATTGATAACTTCAATTGTTTAACATTTGGGCTATACAATGTATCATTAAGGACGATGCAGTGTATCACTAAGGACAATGATAACAAGTTTTATTTCATTGTTAGTCAAACTGAAGTAAATCACTTACTACCAAATTGACACTATGCAGTCAAGATGAAACGAAACGGTGTTTTCCCTTGAAGTAATTGACGATGTACCCCAACAATAACAACCTGTTCTTGAGGAGGTACAACCTGAATTTTTGTGATTTAAGGTTTCCCTTCAGCGTTACCCAGATGATTTCCTTTCTCAATAATTTCTTTGAACTTTTTTAGTATATGTTATGTTCGGAATTTTTGTTTTCAGTTTCTGAACCATGTTTCTGTCTTTGAATTTATGATATATTATGAATTTTTATTTTTAATTTTTGAATCACATTACAGCATTTTAATCAAGATTTTGAACTAGATAAGTTCAAATCAAAGAAGGATTTTGGAAGGTCTTATCTTATTTGATTTTTTTTATATAGTTTTATTCATAAATAAATATTAATTTATTGTATTTTTTATTTATTATATTTTTATTAATATAGATATAATAAAAAAAATACAAAAAAAAATGAAGTTGCGTTCTGGAATGGCCCGTTTTAAAAGCAGAACGGTTCGTTCTGCTGCACGCATGTTGTGTTAAATTTGCATTTAGAATGACCTGTTCTAGTTGCAAAATTAACACATAACATGTGCATGCAAAACGGGTCATTCTGGTTTCAGGTGTATTCATGTCATTTGACATCCACCTATGCATCTACGTGGCATCCACATGACATCCACACCAGTAGAAGTTAACTCCGTTTAAATCATTTGGACCCAAATAACAATGATTTAAATTATTAAGAACTAAATTAAGAGCTAAAATTAAAATAAGACTAAATTAAAATAAAAAAATATTATCAGCAACTAAAAGAGATTTTTAACCTATTTAATATAATAAATGGTTAAACGTACAATTTTTAAAAAAATAATAATCTTTCTAGTAAGCGTAAGCGTACTTACCAAGCAAGCCAGCAACGTGGAGATTGAAACATGGTAAAAAAACCATAACCAAACTACAGTGTTGAGTTGGGGTTTTGTTCTTCTCTTCTGTGCTATGAATTGAAGGAGAGAACTTGTCTGAGTTGAGTAAGAGGGAAATGGGTAGCAAGGGACACCCAGTTTGTGCAGTCTGCACCAACAACTGTCTATTGTTCCACCGACCAAAACAAACACCACCTTCACCAACCTGTTTCTTCAAGGTCATCGCTAAACAAGAGCATTTAACTACTTTGGTTCGTATCATAATCACCTTCTCCTTCATTTTTACTTTCCTTTTCAAACCATCCATGGCACCTCTCGCTCTCTCTCATTATCCTGTTTACATTCTCCACCAATTTACTTCAAAGCTGCTTTCTTTGTTGTTTAAGAAAAATTGTTGCTTTTGAGTAAATCGCCCTTGAGCCAAGACGCCATTATTACACTTTGATCTTATTCCTGTTTCTTAAATGCTGTATTTGAGAATTGCTTTGTGCTTTGTGCTGTGTGTTTCACTTCATTGTTTGTTTTGGTGCTACTTGACCACCCTTTAAGTTGGGGATTCTGTTCATATCTTGAAATCCCTACATTTTTTTTCCAGCGATCATGCACATTGCATCCAAAACGCGAGGTTAAGCTCCATTTATACTTGGCGGTTCACATAATTTGTATGAAACATTGAAACTTGAGAGTTGTGACATACATGCAGGTGCACACATGCACATATATATTTAACTTAATAAAGTTTGGGTCCTGCTAAGTGCTAACTGGTGCCAAGGAATTGATAAATAGAAAGTTTTTTATTGATTACCTCGGGTTGCATTGGAAAGTAGGGGATAGTACACTATCCCACTTCTCAATGAAAAAGTTTTTACTTTTAATTCCTTAACCAATGATCCGAGGGCACTGCTTAGCATTTTCCGTAAAGTATTGCATGTAATACCCTCCCACACCCACACCCATCTATACATGCATACTCATATATAACTTCATAAAGTATTGCTTGTGATCTATTAGAGAAATGAAATGCTAGCTATATATTCTCTAATACATTCTTTACTATTGGCCAAGAATTATTGAAAATCACCAAATTGTATAAGTCTCACCGAGCCTCCTGTGACTCTTCACATAGTTCCAAAATTCCTGACCCACAAAATTCTCATTATTAGCTGACGAAATATGTATTCATATCTTCCATTTGTGATCCTTAACCAAGCAAGTCCTTAACCAAGCAAGTTCTGTTTTTTGCCCCCACCATTGATCCCTTCTGACAAAATAAGATTTTGGTTTGAACACTTCCCAATCTGTACATGATCTTGATGTCTATCAGGCTCACCTTTTCTGCTTCTGTAACAGTATACAAGTGAATTTTTCTTTTCATAGAGTTTGTACACCTTACATTCATTCATATTATTTGTGTAGCCTGAATCAGATAATGCAGTATGCATTTTGCTTTGATCTGCCCATTTGTCTTCATACTACTTTTTTTTTTAGCATATTTCTCTTTATATTAACCATGGATTCTGATCTTGCATATTATTTCTCAACATCTCTTTAAACTGCAGTATATTCCTCCTGCCTTTAGTAGTATTGTGTCACACTTGGTTAATAAGAAAGTCATTCTCAATGATTCAAGTGGGAAGCAATGGAATGTAGAAGTATCAGAAGTTAATGGTTCTTTTGTGTTTGAGGAAGGATGGAATACTTTTTCATTGGATCATGGGCTTAAAGTTGGATATTTTCTAGTATTCAATTACATAAAGGATTTGCACTTTGATGTCAAGATCTATGATACATCTGCATGTGAAAAGCTTGATTTTTCTAAAAAAAGAAATCAGAAGAAAAGAAGTAGGGGCAAAAGTGGCTCTCCAGTAAAAGATGGTAAGTTGGTTAGACAAGGTCCCAATGCCGTAGTTGTCTCCCAGCTTCATGTGCCAAAAATGCAAAACCAGCGCAGCAAGGTTGACTCAGTAGTACCACAAAATAGTAAAGAGAGTGGCCAACTTATGTGCATATCAGAACACTGTGAAGACCCATATTATTCAACAAGTCTAGAATTTGATCAGAGCCATGGTGTTGATGGGACTACGAGATTTGCAAACGGAGATTCAAAAGTTCCTGATGTTGATTGTGGAACCCATATATATCAAAATGATGCAATCGTATGTAGTAAGAACCCTATGTTTGAAGTGGGCATGGGAGCTTACTTAGACATATCTGAACTTGAAATGTCAGGAGGAAATACTTCCCTAGGTGAGGCAAACAAAAGCACCTATGACAAGACTTCTACTTTGGAACTTGAAGCAAACAAAGGGATCAAAGCCATCATGTACAACAGGGAAGCTCAAGAGTGTCAAATTGCCGAGAGCTTAGGTACTAAAGTAGTAAAGTTAACAGAGTAGTTTGTTACAGGATCAGATAAATACTGTCCTAGTAAAACTTAGTTTGCTTTACATACTTTAAGGCTTCGGGCTTCTAGGTTTATCACTTGTAATACGTGTGATATTTTCCTATATTCAGCTTTTTATTATTTTTACTTGGCATTGGCTTTGGCTTATTTTTAGAAAGTGATCAGGCTGCAATGTCCAAAGAAGAGCATGATTTGCATATTGGTGGTTTTCACAACACCCAACAGAAGTCCAATGGGATCTCAAATTACTTAGATGCTGAATTGGGTGGTTATTGATCAGTTAATATGATTACAGGTGAAATGAAGAAAGTTCCTGTGGACATGGCTCCCGAGTTGGGCAGTTCCATGGATGAATTGAATGTAACAGGTGTTTTCATTTTCTACCACTTCTGTTGAAATTTGTTGTCACTTTAAATCTCATTATTGGTGGGTGCATGCACTTGTCTGCAGTAACTTACATTAACAGGTGCTCAGTTTGTATGTATTTTCTCACGTAGGCCCTTGATTTACCTGAATTAATCGATTAACTATTATGATTACAGGTGAAATCTCTGAAAAGTCCAAGAAAGAGCCTGTAACTCTCGATGAATTGGGAGTAACAGGTTTGAATTTTTTCCTCAATACTTCTGTTTTAAATTTTCTACTCACTTTTTTGTGCATGCACTTCTCTATACTACGTAAATGGTAAATTATCAGATCTTATGGATAAGTTTTCTGTGTGATTATAGGGTTGCCAGAGGAGACTAAGGGAGAGTTGGGTCACAGTTCTGACATGTTTAATCAACATAATGAGAGTCACTTCAAAACTGCACTCACTTTCTCCTGCGTGGTGCCTAATGATGATGTTTACCTTGTACGATATTAACTGGCCCTTAGTGACCTTATCTCTATGCATGGTTATATAGTTTTTGCTGTAAATTGATTTTGCACTACATGATTACAAACTGGGATTATGATCGGGATAAAACTTAGGTAGAATACTATAAATGTTATTAGTGTTGTTTTCTGATCAAAATTAGCGTGGTAATCTGCACACTAAGTAACATCATTTAGTGCCAACTTTTATTGTCTGGGTTATGAAGACTCTAAACCCTAAACCCTCAGGCCAAAAAGTATCTATAATAAAATACTGTATCTAAGTTTTATCCGTATGGTTACAGTTTCTTATTGATAGGATAGCTATAAATTTTACTACTCTCATTTAGCTCATCATCTTTTGTGGTACAGCCTTTTGTATGCTGTTTCTCATTCTTCTTTGTGTGTGTTTTGAGCACTTGTAGTTTATATTTACCGCAGGAATTGGCCAGATGCCTACATGTGATTCGCGGGATAAAAGAGTCTCGGCAAAAGAAGATGGTAGTGTTACTTCGGGATCCACTGAGGAGATTGTGGCCAGTGTTTTACAATGAGAAACTGCTGTTACTGACTCATGGATGGTTAAATTTTAGCAGAGCTAATAAGATTGAACCAAATGATGTGTGCACGTTTGAGGCTGAGGCTGAAGCTGAGGACAAGTATAAACGAATCTTAACTGTACATATAGCCCACAAGAGATGTTAGAGTAACTCTAAGGAGTTGTTTGGAGCATGGAATCATGTGTTTGGTGGTCCTCATTGTGTCACATTAGTGTTAAACAACTTTACTCTATTTTTATTCTAATAGTGAGATTTTTCAAGCAATTCCTAGAAATTTAATATTTTTTAATTTTTTAATCTTGAATTTCATTAAAATTATGATACCTTAAAATAAATGAAAAAAATTGCAAAAAAGATAAATTTTCCAACAGCCCAAATTTCCAACGGCACATTTTTTTATAATTTTTTTTAATCTTTTCCAACGGCATCTTCTTTTTTTTTTTTTTCCCTCTTCTTCTTCTCCTTCTCTTTTTCTGTTCTTCTCCCCCGTTGCACCACATCGCTCTATCGTGCGCCTCCTCTATCGATCGTGCACTCCGTTGGACTGCCCGCCTCCTCCGCTGGTTGCAATCATTGTTTTAAAAATTGGATCGGATCAGTTGAATTGGGAATTGGTGGGCTAGCCGGTCCAAACTTGAATTGGATTGGTTATGTATTTGATTCGTTTCAAATTAGAGTAAACTAACATTTTCCGATTCGACTAGTGAATTGGTGGGTCAAACTCGTTCAACTACAAAACTTTTTAGTATTTTTTTAAGAGATCACAAACCATAAAAATAATAATAATAATTAAATCCAATTAATGAAAAAGTAAATAGTCTTATTAAACATAACAATAATTATTTGGTCTAATGTATTTGTTTATAATATATGCAACATAAATAATTTTTATAGTATATTATTAATTTTAAATTATATATTTAATAATATAATATTTATGTAGATATTACATATATTCACATTATTTATATTTTTAATTTGTATTAATATACAGTTTAACGTGTATTTTTTTTATGTATTTTTTATATAAAATAAAAATAAAGATAATTTTAAATAAAATGAAAATTAAAATTTAAAATAAGATATGAATTTATTAAATTTATAAGTATAAAATATATTTAACATGAATATTTTTTTAAAAAAATTAATAAAAATTAGGTCATACGGTTTAATTAGTGATCCACTAGTTCAATCTTTGACCTACTGACCCAATACCTTAATCGGTTTGATCACCGGTCCAATTTTTAAAATTATGGTTGCACCTTTCTTCTCTTCCCTTTCCTTTTTTTTTTTTCTAGTTAAAAATTAATATTATATTTAAGCAACTGTTGTTTGTAGAAGCAACCCAAATTATTTTTTAAGCAACTTTGATGCTACCTATGACTCCTCTAATGGTAAGTTTCTTTAAGCAACTGTTGGGGTTAATAAACTCTTCAAGCATTTGGTATTGGAAATGCTCTTAGTTAGTATTATAGAGAAGCTTATATAGTGTGTGGGTATATGAATTTTGGGATCTTCTGTGTTCTCTGCCTAACTCAAATTGTCATTTATATATTTTATTTGAGTCATATCATGAATCAATGTGAATAATTTATCTTTATATGGTAAATATGATGGGTTGTTTTATGCGAGAATGTCTTTGAGAATTTTTTTTAATAAATGTTTGAAGATGTTTTTATTGTATAAGATTTTTAAGAATATTTTTATTTTATTTAATTTTTATTTATCATATTTATTTATAGATTAAATTTTAATATTTTAAACTAAATTATCAATAATTAAAATAATTATGTGTTACAATATAAATCATTTATCTTTAATCTAAAATATATTTTATATGTTTAAATTTATTTATTCATGATAATTTAAAATATAATTTATATATTAAAATATGACTATTTATTTGTATATAAAAATTATTATAAATTTTAATTATATA